AGGAATTTTTCTTACAATTACATATTCTCGAAAAGCCATAAGATTCCATGCCACCATTTATTCACACCTTCGCTTAGGTAACCACAAACAATGTCAGAATGGGCGGGGGGACATTAATTTTTGAACAAAATGAGTTTTCAAGCCATGCACAAGGCCACACCTTGTCAACACAAAACCGAGTACTACACAAACACACGTGCAGCTACCAGAAGCAGCATAGTGCTGTAAGCTCATTTCAGCAGTATTCCAGATATTTTTGGCAGTGTAATGCACTACAACACATCATGCAGACATTACTTCATTGCTAGCCAGCAGCTGAAGCGGGTGACAATATCCAGACCGCCTAACATATTCCAGCAAATTAGTCCATCAGAAAAACCTCAAGCACTCTTCAAGAATGAAACTTCTTCTCATGATGTGGAAGAATGCGGCTTGCTAGGGTTGGCAACTCAAAAGAAAAAAAAAGAAAACCCCCAAAAAATCCCAAAACTCAAACCGAAACCAACACGCACACACTGCCACCTGAATGACACCAAAGCAACCATCTCCTCTATTGAATAAACACTTTGAGATTCCACAGTCGCATCACTGTATCTCCATCTGTCCTAACTCTCATTTATGTTAAGACCTTTCTTTCCCTCTATTCCCAAGCCAACTGAGTCAAGGCAAAACTGAACAAGAGAGAATAAAAGTTCTAAGACAGCTTTGCTTTACTTACCCACTGTTGTTCAACAAGGCTTATGGACCTGCTCGAGCTCAACCAGCCCATGTATTCTCCAGAAAACTGCAACCGCTACCATTTCATGTGAGATCAAGAATTCACTCAAGGAAAGTTTGTGCAAGTGAATCCCTAAGCAGAACCCCAGCTCCTGGGTATCTCGCAGTCCAGCTATTCTTCTACACATAGCTCCCCTATACAGGATGCAACACTAAAATGTCACCTGCTTATCTTAATGTTGTCAAGTTTAAACATTATTACTTTCTTTTGTTTACTAAAAACTATTTATTTTCACCTACAGCATCAAATATATGCCATATCATAGATGTTTTAATACTTTGCCCTCCACAAGCAACAACAGAACTTACTTGGGTTCTACTCATGGCTCGTTATTTTCTAGTCCATTTCATGACCTGTTAAATTCAGTGTAATACAGCAGTACTTCTTAAGCAAACACGTTTTAAATTATTTAGGTTATACTTGAAAATAGTCACAACCCATTTGCTGTCATTCTTCCAGATGCACAAGTACCATCCCTTCCCTGCCTTACCACAACGCCTGCCCCACATCAAGGAACTTTCCCATTCTCAAAAGCAGCATCACCGCGCACAAGAGATGCTGTGCATAGCCATACTCATCAACACAGACACATCCACGTACCCACGCAGGCTTTTTCAGATTTGTGGTTTCAGAGAAGTTGCACTAGATGGCAGCTTTCCTCTATACAAGTCCTTCTTTCTGTTCAACTGCATTTGCACACCGCTGTCCCTACTCCTCCCCAAAAAAGAGAAGCATATACTAACTAGCAGCATGCTGCCTTCACAAAAGGTTTTAGACAGATACTGCAGCTGCACAACTGAAGCTGTTTCTAACTATGGCAGAACAGAAACCTTTCAGCTACCATGTTCTGATTCCCTTATGATTCTTTACGAAAACACAGGTGTCAGAAAGTCGATGTTTAACACAAAAACCAACTCTTTACAAATACTTCAGCTGTGGCAAAGGAAGCAAAGCCTCTGACGCTATCTAGCAAAGATGTTTCCATGCTGTGCTCATGCTATCCAGCTACACTTGTAAGAGTGAAACACTCTGTCAATAGCTGTTAAATTATAGCTCCTGAGAGAAAAACAATTCCAACCTACCACATTTCTGCATAACTGAATCCTCTCTTGAGCCAAGTCATACTCTGCCCAAATCTTCTGCAGCTTCTCCAAGGAACACGGAGCAGTAACACATCCTTCTGTAACTACTTTTATGGCTTGCGAAAGCTGCTCCCCAAAACAACTGTTCTTATTTCTGTGCCTAAGTTGTAAAGATGAAACAACATTTTACCAGGATTTTTTTTCAGAACTTAAAAGAGTTTAAAAATCAATGCTATTCAGACCCCTTGAACACACAAATTTTGAGGTAGCATCTGCCGTGTTCATAACCTAGTTTCTTTCCAAAGGTAGCAGGAGCAATTTGTCTCATTCAGCTGTTAAATCTTTTTTTGAGGAAGGAAGAAGGACCAAGAATACATTTGTTATACCTCAGTACTGACAAGGCTGCGCATGGAAATTCTCTCCTGCTTTGAATTTCCCTTTCATCCTATTTCCTCCCTTGGTACTTACTCATCTTCCACAAACACATACATCAATATATATATTCCTTCTTAAACAGAGCTGATGGTCATTTCTATTTCAGGTCTTCTTCCCACTGCACTATTGTCCCTTCTTTTAAAACTAGAAGGGTAATTTGGGTTACCCAAAGAAATAGACCTTTCACAGCAATGCAGATACCCAAGCAACTCTGACTACCCAGTTACTTTCAACAACTCCCTGCATTTACTAATTAGCACCTTCCCTGAAAATGGAATTGAAGCTCTTCTTGCAACAGCTATGGCAATGAGTAGAAGTGAACTGAAGCCATCTGATTAAACACTGAGAAGCAGGCAATGCAAACTCCAATGTGAGCTTCCAAACAGCTCGAGTTTCAGCCTTGCTTTTGGGAAATGTCCCCCTATGCATACAATGCTACATTTTTCTTAGAAAACTAACAAAACAAAACTTTCGGGAAACAAAAAAGCATGCATGACCTCCAGAGATAAGCAAGGCAATGATAAATACTCTAAGTACTAAGTGCAATGGAAAGTACTATTTTATGGGAAAAAAAAACAAACATACCTAACTTTTTTTAACTCCTTCACCTTATCAGCCAAACTTCTTATTTTTGTTCTAATGCAAGTACGCAGGGTTTCAGCAGCTTTCCTGGATACTTCCCTCTCTCTCTGAGTTATCAGTTTGGAGCAGTGTTTCAACAGAGGGAAAAACAGATCAACAGTCACAACAGTCAGCCAGGGTTACTAACATGCAGACCATAATTTAGACTTTTGAAAAGGAGGGATAAACACACACACACAGAGCTGGCCCAAACAAAATACCCAGAAAGACATACAAACCAATGAGAATTATTTCATTTTCTTTAATAGCTTCTTGAACATTAATGGTTCACTACCTTCCTCTCATTTCAGTAGTGATGTGTTCAAGAGTATTTCTTCAATTACCCCCCATTTACTAGCAAATCTGCACATAATATGTATTTGTTTTTCTTTCCCTGCTGAAAAATCCCTACTCATTAGTTCAGGGAAATCAAGTCCAGCACCTCATTAAACAACTTACTCTCATCACTACCACACCTCAAAATGGTGCAGCAAAACAAGAACACTCACTGTATGTACAACCATCCTGACCTTCCTACAAGAAATATTCTTAAGACAAAATAAGGAATGTTCTTGACCCTCCAAAAAAAAGCCCACACACCATATACATCAGGCTACATTCCTCGAGGGGCAACCTAAATTTAAAAGCTCTTGCTCTCATACCAGAGATACTTTCATAAACTCCCCTACAGGTAATTAAATACAGTCTTTAAAAGGTGTTAGCTTTCAGACTTACTGCATACTATACTAAAAAAAAAATCAAAAACACCAACAAACAAAAACATAGAAGGACTGAAATACATTTGTATTTACAGATGAGCTTCCAAAGTCTCACTGTAGGGTGTTTCTTTTTAAGTACTCCTCAAAGCCACCACCACACCTCATCCTTCGAGAGCAAATAGTGCTTTTAGCAGGCAATAAGTATTTTCTTACTTAAAAGAATATCCACAGCCTTTTCTTTTAAGGCAGTTTACTTTCATTCAACACAAAAAAGTAATTAAAATTTGTAGAAAACAGTTCTAAAAAAATCATCATACTATAGATAAGAAATTGTTCTAAGAACTCCTTGCATACTTTTTCTTAGCTGCAGACATGCATTCTGTTGCTTGTTAATCTAGTTTGCACAGAAGGGCACAAACATCGCATCTTCAGTTGCTGAAGAACCTGTGCAAGGACAGGTTAGTGTATGTAGAAACACAGGTATTCTAGGTAGAGGCAACCGAGTAGCAAAGCTGCCTAAGAGCAGTTACATTCCACAAGAGAGAAATAGGAAACATCTCTGTGGTAAGTTCAGGTTGGGGGGTGGCGCAAAGAGACTTACAGAATGGCAGATTTTCCTTTTATATCTGTAGAGATAAGAGTTTGCACAACATTTTTCTGAATTCATGCAAACATAACATCCTTTCACACAACCTCTTCCTACTGCTGCTGTTTATCACACTTAAAAACATTCACAGCATTTTTAAGCCTATCAATAACTATTACTAAGTACTGTCCTTCTCAGACAGTGCTAGGAACTGCCCCTGGAAAGAAACAAAAGCATCTTTTCTGTTAAGTAGCAATTAAGGAAACAATATTTTTTTAATCCAGTCCTAACATTCCACAGCTGCTATGAATCTGTGACACTTAGGAATTTTCAGCCCAACACACAGAAAGCTGCCTTTGCCTCCAAGTGAGTATAACAAAGGCAAGGATTACATCCTTATACACAAAGCACATTTTTAAACACAAAGTGCAAAACTCCATGTCCAAATTGAACAACTACATCCAAACCAGCAGTTTTATCAAGCACAGTGGCAACCCAGTACATACACCAAAGGGGGCCAGGGTCCAGTCTAAGCCACGAAATGTGTGCTGACACTCACTGACAGCACCTCCCCGTGCCAGGGCAAGACAAGTCTTAACCCAACCACCTTCATCCTTCTGTACTCCAAACAACAATGCACAGCTGAACTGCAGTACGATGAACAGAAGCATTATCAAAAACACTCAAAAAGAAGAGAGAAGCATCCTCTTTGCATTTCCACATACCTCAAGTCCACATTG